AACATCTGCACCATGTTTTATCAGATATTTTACAACATTAAGGTGACCATTCAAGAAAGAAATATGAAGAGAAGAAAGATCTCTTTCCCCTAACTTGTTAACATCTACCTTGTCAATCAGATATTCTATAACATCCAAATGACCTTGATAGCAAGCAGCAGATATACAATTTAGACCAATATTGGCTTCAGCACCACTCTTCATTAGATACTTCACGATATCCAGATGACCATTATACGATGCTGTTCCCAGTGCAGATATTGTGGCCTCATCACAAAGACTAGACTCTGCTCCACTTTTAATAAGAGACTTAACGGTCTCTATCTGACCGCTATATGACGTATAACTTATAGGAGATAATCTGTACTTGTCACAGAGGTTAAGGTCAGCACTACTCTTAATCAGATACTTTACAGTTTCCAGATGACCATATCGCGAAGCTATAAATAGTGGAGATGCCCCGTGCTTGGTACAGACATTGACATCGGCACCACTTGTAATTAGAAATTCCACTGTCTCCAAATGACCACCATGTGATGCTATATACAGTGGAGTAGCTCCAAACTTATTACAGATATTGACGTCTGCGCCATTCTGAATCAGGTATCTTACAGTTTCCAGATGACCCTAAAGTGATGCTGCAGCCAGTGGAGTCTCTCTGTCTTTATTACAAAAAATTGACTTCAGCACCATTTCTAATCAAAAATTTCACAACATCAATATGATTCCTAGATGCTGCTGCTCCTAGAGGAGACATTGTGTCCTTGTAACAAAGATTAGCATTAGCGCCACTCTTAAGAAGGCATTTCACAGTATCAAGATGACCCTTGTAAGATGCACAAAACATAGGAGTGAGTACCAATGCTGAATTATTCATTATACCTCCACATCGATTGACTTCTACTCCTTTTTCTAACAAAGCAATAACAATGTCATTATAACCACACAATGAGGCTGCACATAATGGTGACAACTTTCCAGCAGGGTAATAATTCAAACACTCCTTCATCACAGACCGTGTAATAATTTCGACCATTTTCAAACTACCACTAAAACAAGCCAGTACTAAACAGAGAAATTGTGAATCCAAATTGTTACCATAAATCAGTTCTGATACTTTTCTTTTACAATTCATGCAAGGAGAGCTCTTATTTTCAGTTAGTTTTATATCGATCATCTCTTCGACACTGGAGAGTAAAACGTCATGGCCATATGCTATTATCCAATGTTGTGCGCTATAGACATGCTTTAAATGCAAAAGCTTCAACTGAAAAGAAACATCTGTTGTATTTTGCAGCAACTCTGCTCCTTTTTCCATTAAATCTTCCACATATACCCTGTTTTTCTCCTCTGAGGATTCACTTCTCTGTCCTCTAAGCAGCAGATTTTTTAATTCTTCAAAACTAAAACTTTTCAAGGTATCACAAAACACTTCAAGAAACTTTGGATGCTTCAATATATCATATTGAAATACTTCATACAAGTTAAAACGTTTTATGTCACTTATGACTCGATCGGCCAAAATAGCAAATTGATCTTCAGAAATGTAAATGTTAGTCCCTGATCTTTCTGGTTTAGTATCTGACAATGTTATATAACTATAGATAAAGGTGGATGATGTGTGTTGAAGAAGACGATCGGGAAAACATCTACCAAAGTGAATGGCAACAATTTCAAACAATTTGTCATGAGCAAACAAAAAGCTACCATTTGAATTCAACATCAGATAAGAACCTTCCAGTACACTTAGTGTGTCTATTAGTTCCCAATTTGATGTGGACCTGTTCGCTCTGCAGCAGTCGTATACATCTTTGAGGCATTTTCTGTCAATGCATTTTGGATTGATACAGTTATCTTTCACGACACAGTACACCAGTGCTGCATAATGTATTTTCTTTAGCTGACGCATGCTATCCATCTCAGAAAACAAATACTCATAGGGCTGACTAAAAAACTGCTCACCCAGGATCTGATATTTATCATTGGATGAAAACATATTACACAACAGTGGAAACATAGGCATGGTGGATTTCAGCTCAAAATGTTTAAAGAATTTTGGTTCTACTTCTCTATATTCACAGTGAAGCCGTAGCATTCCTTTTTTGTCTTTATCGTTCAAATGATTCTCTTTACTTCCTAAATCAACAACATGTTTTTCACATGTAACAAAACTATTAAGTAATTTAGATTCGTTGAATACAACAGATCGAAGACTCATCAACAATTTTGAACCTGAAACTATAAAACCAAATATTCGCTCTGATATCGCCTTATGATTGCTAAATAGACTTTTATCCATACCATGTACACCTAATACATCATCAACTACAAACACTTGCCTGCTGCTTAGATTTCCAAGCAGAATCATCTCGTCAAGTCTTGACACTGGAATAATATTAAATCCTTCCTCAGCAAGTTTCAAAGCAAAATGACGAATGAGAGACGATTTTCCTGTACCACTACTCCCAGTCACTGTCAAGTAACCCAGGGACCTGATTTTATTACTAACTGAGTTGTATATTTCTGTCCGAAAGAAGACTTCGTCCTCCTCTTTCCATTTCTGTATAATTTTGCCATGTTGCACTGTAAAACAAATAGTTAATTTAAAGATGCTACTCATTTAAGAAAAATATGCAATATACAGGCCTCTCAACAAACAGCTCTTAACTGTTGTCTTAAATATTGGTATGTATACATGTACGTGTACGTTATTCATTTTACTGCAGGTTCCATCATTGCATTGTTATTTAAGAATATTATTCCATGTTTATTCAAAAATTATATACATGTATATTGAAACACAAAACACTTTTTTCCTCATTTTTTAATAATCACTAGAACTTGTTTTCCTTATATTTGAATATATATATATATATATATATATATATATATATATATATATATATGAGTAACATATACGAAAACCCTTCATGCAAAAATGTTTTGTGGTAAATTTTGTTGAATTTTGTTCAGTGGTTCTGCAGAAGATGTTGAGAGGTTTACGGATAACACTCGACAGAGTACAGAGACTTGCTTTTTCTAGAGATGACTGTCCTAAAAGTCATCTCGACCAAGGAGCTAAATGCGGTATTTGCATATTAAAGTCAAATTTTGAAAAATTCTTGAAATGTGCTGAATTATAAACATTGAATGAAAAATCTAAATTGACAAAAATATTATTGTTTTGCAGTAGATTATTGGCAATTTTTGTTTCTATGACGTAACAAACAATTTGGATTTTGCGTTATTTTTCAAAAGGAGGAAAAATGGACAAAATTTGTTCAATTTTTACTATAAAATTTATAGAGCACAGACCTGCTCCAGAACAATATTTATATATTTCATTGATATTATCATTCTACACATAATATCAAATTGAGTCGGAGCAGACCTGTGCTTGGTGACTTTTACTCTAAACATCGACGTAATATACACCTTTTTCTGTATAAATCATGGAAATTTTGAATTACGTCATTTTCCGAACGTCGTATCTAACATATGGCGTCATGGCTGATGAAAATATTCATGACAATGCTTTGAAGTCTGCAGATATCCCCCTGTTTTAGAACATAATTATATATTACTCCATCAAAGTTTGATTTTGAGGGCAAATATTGGTCATTACCATATATAGTTCTTTTCTTTAAATGTAGGATAAAAAATGTGAAGACCCTTCTTCAGCTTTCACTGTTAGATTGCATTCACAATGTTTGTTTGTTTGTTTGTTTGTTTTACGCCCCTTCGAGATTTTTTTTTATCATGTTGGAACGCCACCAATTGCCGGTGGAGGGCTGACAGCCAAATTTAGCAGTGAGGGATCTTCGAACCCGCGAAGTAAGGACTCGACGACCCTACATGTACATATGTAGAATAAAACGCTATATAACCACTGCGCCACGCAATGTAATGAAACTTGCATGTATAAACATAGAACATACATTGCAAGTATTTTCCAACGTGATACTCTAATCCTTTTTGAAGATCTTGAACTTGTTGCTGCAAAGCAGGAATTTGAAGTGATAAATCTGCGCGTATTGCGTGGTCTAATATCTTTGTTTTCAATGCATCCACTTTTCCGTTCAAGCGATCTTTCCCAAGTCTTTTTATTACCTACAATTACATTAAAGTGATGTTCTTTTTATTTGCAGTATTTCATAAAAGTACATAAAAGTATAAAAGGTATTATTAATAGCGTAATAGATAGATGTATAATATTAAATGTTTCAGATAATTCAACGATCGAAGAAATAGGAAATCTTGTTTTGTATGTGTGTTTGTGTGTCGTTGTCTTCGGCGTATGTTGATGTGTGAAAAAGTTCATTATTTGAATAACATTCATTTACATGTCATGAAAAGTCCTTATAAATGTGAGGGGAATCAAAAGAAATATGAAGTCTAAAAAAGCTAGCAAAAAATGACCAGATGTTGCAGAAAGACATTGAAAACGCTGAAGGTCCTGATCAAATCATGGCGAGCATACATGTAAAGATATCTGGCTTATCTCTGACATTTCTGCCCATCTCCCCTGGAACACCTCTTCCTTGATTGACGGCGGACCGTGGAAGTGTGTGTTACGATGTATCCGGACTCGTTCCAGGTCATCAACTGGCTCTGTGTTTGAAGTATCGGGTATTTGTCCCCATCCCTTTCCTGGTTTCTTCAAATTTGTCGTAGTCCGTATTATCTTGTAGATAAGCGTGATGTCAAACCTTGCTGTTGTTACAGGTTCATTACCTTAATGATATAATGGCTTGTACTATACATGTAATATGCCGATAAATTTTATTTGCTAATAAAAATTTTTTGCAGATATAATTGAAATACAGCACCTTAAATCTGGTTTGAAACTATAATAACTAGGAAGCACTTTGACAAATTGGGGTACATTATTAGGCATTTGTACAAGATTACAGAGGATGGTACATGTATCCGACATTATTCTATTGTAAATCAATAAAATTGTTACTATCTCAATTCAGTTTTGGAGACATTTTAAATTCTGTTTAGAAATCACACGACAGTTATAATAATATACATGTATTACAAAGATATTACACAAAAAAGATATTCGAGGAGCGTGTCGTCAGACCTTAACTTTCAGAAATCAAATAAAAATAAATGACTACCCACTACGTGGCCTTAACTTAATGGTACCAAAAGATTAAAACCGCAGTACTTGTCTACAAAATATTCGTGCTTTATCATGATTATTATATATGATAGTTTTGTTCTTGTAAAATTAGATTCCCATCCGAACCACATGCTAGGACCATGACTTGATCAAAACTAAATTTGCATTTTAAAAAGAAGCTTTTCTGTAAATTTGTCATTCTTGGACGTTGTTCCTGAAGAAAAAATAAATTTTATTTGACCCTACCTTATACATTATCTCTCCTTTAAAGGGAGCATGCATGTTCAGTTGAAGAAAGTGGATAATGTTATACCTGACAGAAATCTGGACAGGTCACTTCTATCAGAAAGGCTCACTTGAACGAACCCTTCGGCTTTTTTATGTCCTCGTAATCGAAGGTTCGGAGGCATATAGTTTTTGGTCTGTAAATCCGTCTGTCTGTTTGTTAATCTGTTAGTCCGCAAAAACTTTAACCTTGCCCATAACTTTTGAATGGTTGGTGCTATGCCTTTCATATTTCACATGTGTATTCCTTGTGACAAAACCTTTCTTTGGGTACATGTACATTTTTGACATCATGACCTTGGAGTTTAACCTACATTTGAAAAAAAACTATAACCTTGCCTATAACTTTTGAACGGTTGGGGCTAGGGCTTTCATATTTCACTTATGCATTCCTTGTGACAAGACCTTTCCATTTTTGCCATTATTTCTTGGTCCTCATGACACTGACCTTGGAGTATAACCTACTTTTTGAAAAAAATTAACATTGGCCATATTTTCTGAATGGTTGGTACAAGGGCTATTATATTTCACATGTGTATTTCTTGCAAATTGTGACAAGCCCTTTCTTAGGGTATCAGCAGTTTTTAACTCTTGACCTTGACTTTGGAGTTTGACCTACATTTGAAAAACTTTTAACCTCGGCCTTGAGCTGCCATACGGGGACATCAGTGTTTAACAAACACATCTTGTTTTTAATTTGTAAACGTGACTGGACAAAAAGAAATCTTATTTATCACAAACCAATATCTATGCCTTTAATAGTTTTTTTTTTTCCATTCAACAATTCTATTTTCATTCTCTAACGAGTATGAACCTCAAAAAGTAATGCATTTTCAAATCAAACCTCGAAATAAGATGTCCTTTTGTTCATCGCTACAATTCCTTAGAGATTTTTTCTTGTATCTTCGTAAGTGTTTCTGTAATTTCTGTGGTGGAATGACAGAATCAAACCAGATTCGAACGGCGTCAATCGCAAGTTGTAGAAGCAAATAGTATCGGAAATAATTATCAAGTTCTTTTGACGCCACGAGTCCTCCATCTAAAAGCAACACAAAATACTAGTATTTAGAAAACAGTTTATAACAACAACACTTTCAAATTTTACGAATTTAAAGGAATTAGATTATATGATATTTTTATAGAGAATATTGAGTCGCAAACCCTATGGACAGTTAAGAGTTGTACACTTAAGGTCATCCGCAACGTACCATACAGCAGCTGTACAACCTACCTTACCCACGGATATTTTGTCAAGGTCATTTGATGTTCTTATAGACAAAAAAATAAGCATACATTTACCCGGGAAGGGGGGAAGGTGAATAGATATACCTTGTCAAAAATGTAATATTACAGTCTGCTTATGATATCATATTAGTATCACTTCATATACATGTAATTAGTAAATACCTACGTGTACATATAAGAAATAAGATACGGTATAGTTGAAAATGTTTTAAATTGCAATGGATGTGGGAAAATGCTTTCTTTCTCAGTGCAACACAATCAAAATTTAACTTTATTTTAGGTTTTAATAGATAAATACGACTGCGTTGTCTGTTTAAAAATGCTAGTGCGAGGATCGAACTCAAATTATCGATTTCTCACCATCAAAAACAGATAACATACCATTGTGCTATCACTGCAACTTAATTAAAAAGAGTTTTAAAACAATAGTGAAGCAGCAGATTTACAAAATATAATTTTATCATTTTACATGTATATGCTCTCTTGGTCTTCTCTTGATGCTCGCTTTGTCGCGTTAAATTACATGTACTTACAAAAAGAATTGAAATCGTGGAGAGATGGCCATGCAGAGATATAGCAAATTTACAGAAAATATGTTTGAAAACGTGACATTTTGTACCACATGACTCATCTAGCCATATTTCAACGCCCATCTTAGCAAATCAAAACACAATATTGGGAAAATATTTCCCTTTGTTTTATCACAGAAATCCGACAATCATTAGAATGCTGTGATTATATGTGATGGAAATGGAATTTTCACTTTGCAAGTGTGCCCAGATTCCTGCATCATTCTTTGATCAAATCTTGGCAAGGATGTACCACAGTAAAGGTTCCAAGATTTACACAGAAATAATTTATTAAGCTTCTGCAAGAACAACAATGCTACAGTTCATAAATCTAACGCCGATTCTCATATAAACTTGTTGAAATCAATGAAGGAATTGAAGTTAATAGCTACAAGAAAAGGTTAAAAGACTTATTGCATGATCTTTCAAAAATCGTAATTTTATGAAAAATATTATCTACAACCTTGTTTATTAAAATACTGAATACAATAAACGTTATTGAAAGCAATTTTTAAGAGATATTGAGAGTTGAAATTCAAATACGGCAGTATGCATATTTCAGTCGGATTTCGGCGAAATACTGCTCTAGATCTGACGTCATAGGCGACAATTCAGTGATAGAGAGATGAGAATATGTAAACTATTTACGGAGTTATCAACGACAAATGCAGCTTAATTACGAAAAATGCTGAAACAATTAATTCCTAGAGTGCTTTTTAATTACTAAAGAAACATTAACTAGTTCTAAGGTATAAGGCTTTTGAGATATTTTCGTTTTTTTATTCGAAACATTCAGAATCTGTACAGCTCCGATTACGACAATGATTCGTGATCGGAAAATTATTTTTCAAGACTGTCATCCTTTACAAAACATAATTAATTAAATTAATGTTATGCTAAAAACGAAGAATAACAAAGTTATACAATATTAAATTTGTAAATCAATTAAGTTAATACATGTGATAAGATAACAAATCAAATTGTATTGTGATGGCGAGTTTCTTCGTCTTCGCCGCGTCTCCTTCGTCGCTGCTATTTTTACAATGTTAACATATTTTTTCAGATTTTTTCTTGATGACAATTCTAAAATACATGTATAAGGTTGGATATTCAATTTCGTATCGATAAAATCAGTGAAATGGTCGTCCACAGTGCAGAATATTCATGTTGTATCGCGTATATTTTAGTAAGATTAACTATAGAGCTGATCAGCCATTGTCGCCTTTGACGTCACAGGGTCACGTGATCACTATCTTTTAATTCAGTGATTTTCATTTGAGTAAATAATTGGTTAATTACCGCAGTTTATCTGCAGCAAAAACACTAAATTTATAAACTGTGGGCATAAGGATCGTTTTACGCTTTTAATTTCAAATAATTTAGAAACATGCGATAAGTCCATATTTATTTATCAGGTAGCGACACGTGACTCACCTGAGCATTTTTGCCCATGAGCCTTTTACAAGTGCGTATCTCATGTATTTTGCTTGCTATACGTTCAGTTGTTTAATACAAAATGCTAAAGCTGGTGTGCTTAACAAGTAATGTATGTTACTAAAAATGAATATAATTATTTATTTACATTTGCAAATATTTTTCTTTGATGAACCTATTGAAGAGAAAATATGTTCAATTCTGTATGAACTTATTAGGGGGTCAGAGGTCATGGCGTGACCGAATCACACAGCGAGACGATATCTTCAGGTCTACATATAAAATTTCTGTTACCAGCTGGTTACGGTGACACTAGTTTCGAAACTTCTAAGCCGTTAAAGCGATGAAAAAGATAAAATTATTGAAACATTTCTTTTGTTCAATAAATGATCATCAGATCTCTCTTCGGTGTGAAGAATGCTTTTAATTAGCCTAAAATCACGCTTACCTTTTTAACCCGAAATTCCTTTGAAGGTATGTAAACTGAAGACGATACCACCGCTTTTGACTTTATATAAAAGAACTCATACAATAATAGTAAGATTATTCTCAGTAACGATCATTGTTTTTTTCATAGGCCTAATAAACAGATATTTCCTGAACTGGACTGCTGAACATGTCATCAATTTAATGTAAATATTCAAATGTTGGAGCGAGGCGAACTCTCTAGACCAAACAGCTTCTAGGTCATTGCGCGTCACAACATAGCAATACGGCGGGTCGTTCGTGTAATAAATGCAGTTCTATTCAGAATATTCGTCTAAAATGTAAATAAAAGTAATAAACAACAATGTTAAAAAGCTCACTGGGAAATGAACTTGGTTGGTACGTGATCAAATCTTCTGAGAAGCCCTTCAGATGTAGAATCCTCTGACGTCACTGAATCAGAATCTTCTGTGTCTGAATGTGCTCGTTTCGTTTTCAGATCTGTACTTAAAAAAAAGCAAAATATCAATAAAAGAATAATTAAGCTTTTGCATAAACAGTCTTCTATTTTCAAACGCAAATAAAATTGTTTAAAATTATTAAATTGAAGAGAAGGTTATATAGATTGCGTTAAAAGTAAACCAGACATACACAACATTTCCTAATATAAGGTAATTGCGCTATGAAAGACCATAATTTTCACCAAAAATATATAATCCCATGACACTCAAAATGATCTGCTGCTCACCTTTTATAAATATTGGAGTAAAAAATCTAAAAGCAGCCTTTAAATATTCAACCCAAATTTTACCAAAAAGTATTTCAAGAAAAGGACAACCAGGCAAACGGAAGTATATACTATAATCCACCGGTAGACCATTTGATGGACTACTAAATGGTTTAGATCATTAGCTAGCAAAACTACATGTATACATACCAGTATTACAATGTATTTTACACAATAAGGAAATATCAATAAACTCACTTATTGATGAAGCATTTGATACTGTTCTAACCAGTATATGACTCAATAAAGAACAGTCCTGAATCAAATATGTCAGCATCACTTGTCTTATGTTTACAGACGCAACACGTGTAAGTATGTGTTATATGGAAATTTGTTTTGTCAATTGAAGAAATTGACAATTACTTAGGCTTATTACCGGTACTCGATTTTACTTTGAAAAATATTCAACTTGTAACGAACAACCATTACTTGGAATATAAATTTGAAACATTCAATCCATATCCAGCACTTCCTTCCTCTCCCTCTATGTAATACAGTTGAACCTCGATACCTCGAACACCGAATTATCGAATACCATGAAAATGTCGAAGTAATTTGGAAGTCCTAACCATTTATTATTTAAGTACTTTATTTACCCTCGATGTCTAAAATCCTCGGATGTCTCAGTATTTTCTCGGTCCCATCGAGTTTGAGATAACGAGGTTTGACTGTATTTTCTTTTTTAAAAAATCACAAGTATTTTTTTTTTTTTATTAACAGAGATAGACAGATCATAACATAAAATAATAAGTTTAAAACATTGTTCAGAAATACTCTCTTGAAATTTCATTTTGATAATTATATTTAAATAAAGTGAGACATAAACTTAGATATTAAGGATAATTTGAATAGATGAATCCAGAATTGATCCGTAATATTTTGATTTATAATCTTATGCTTACTTACTTACAGTTCAGCCAAAAACTAACTCCAAAGTCATACATAAATTATGTACTGCTATATGCCTTCCGATGTTGTGTTTACACTTTTAGAAGAAATACCGGGCTAGTAAAAAATAAAGTAGTTATCAAATAGACGATTGCTGAAGTTGTTCCTCAATCACATTGTGGATGAAGGCCATTTAAAAATGTCGTTCATGATTCATACTTGGAAGAACTTTAAAGCATTCATATATTATAACATTAAATAGGACAAAAACCGAACCTTTTTTCAGTAAATAATATCATTCCTTAAATAGATCAATAATGGTGTAACTGCTGAGGTACGCATCCAGATTCTTTGTATTTACGTCATCCCTTTGATCTCAGGTTCTATACGTTTAACCTTGGAAAATCCAGCAGTTCCAGTGAGTTGTATGTTATTTTAAATGTTTTATATAAATTCTGATACTTAAAACGATTGCCAAATTGCCAGAATCATAACTATATACTGGGAATTTTCTGATGACATTACGAAAGAAACCTTTGTGAAAGACTGTAAACATTTAAATAATTATTTGATAAAATAAATGAATCAAGGGTGAATAAATCTTCATAAGGCCGATTCACCATACAATAAATTTCTATTATACAAAATCAAGGGAAACACAAGATGTGTTTGTGAAACACGGATGCCTCCGTATGGCAACTTATAGCGAATGTTAAACTTTCTCAAATGCAAATTAAATATGTTGGTACGCAAAGTAACTAAGGTCTTGTCTCGAGGAATATGAAATATAAAAGCCCGAGCAGCAACCATTGAAAAGATATGAAATAGGTTAAAGTAAGTCACAAATCAAGGTCATATGGTCAAAATGAATGGTGCCCAAGGAAAGGCCTAGAAATACACATGTGAAATATGAAAGCCCTAGCACCAACCGTTCAAAAGCTATGACCAAGGTTAAAGTTTTTTAAAAGTAGTACAAACTCCAAGGTCTAGGTCAAAAGGTCAAAGTTGTTGGTATCCAAAGTAAGGTCTTGTCTCAAGGATTATATTTGTGAAGCTTGAAAGCCCTAGCACCAACTGTTCAAAAGTAATGTCCAAGGTTAAAGTTTCCAAGAGTAGGTCAAACTCCAAGGTCAAGGTCAATGGGCTATAATTTTGGTATTCAAAGGAAGGTCTTTCACAAGGAATAACATGTGAAAAAGAAAGCCCTAGCACCAACTGTTCAAAAGTTATGGCCAAGGTTAAAGTTTTTCAAAAGTAGGTCAAACTCCTACATTGTAGGTCAAGGTCAAAAGGTCAAATTTGTTGGTATTCAAAGGAAGGTCTTGTCACAAGGATTAAACAGGTGAAGAATGAAAGCCCTAGCATCAATTGTTTAAAAGTTATATGGCCAAGGTTAAAGTTTGGTAAATTTTTGTAAAACTGGGTCAAACTCCAAGTTCAAGGTCAAAGGGTTAAATATGATGGTACCCAAAGAAAGGTCTTGTCACAAGGAATACACATGTGAAATATGAAAGCCACGACTCCAACCAATCAAAAGTTATGGGCAAGGTTAATGTTTTGTGCAGACAGACAGACAGCTAAACAGACGGACGGACAGGGCAAAAACTATATGCCCCCGAATCTTCGATTACGGGGGAATAATTACTACTGTATTAGCCCAAATTAAGCATTATCGTTTCTGTAATTCATGGAGGATCGATCCAGATCCAATTAAAAAAAAAAGAACAAGACAAAACAAACACACACCCCCTTGTTCTTCAAGTTCCACAAATCAAGTCTTCAAATTATTTTCGAGGGAAAACGGGCAGGGGATTTCATGTTTACAAAATTATCATAGTCCTTAATAGGGTCAATTTCTTTGCGAGAGTTGACAGGAGAATATTTTTCAAATAACCTGCAAAGACACGCATCTATATACATGATTGTGTATTATATGCTCGAATATTTCAAGTGAACAATTAACGCGCGCATTCTTTGTTCGCGCAAGATTGGTCCAAACATTCCTCAGTCTTCAATCTTCTAGACTTTTTTCCAGAATTATTTAAAAAGTGTGGTTAATAATTACAACCATGTTTGATCGACAAAGAAAAGAACTGAAATCAAAATGAAATAATAGCTATTTCTTCACTACTGCCGGTATCTGCGGTCAAGGTTTGAATACAAGAATTTAATGTTAAGCTCTTCACTACTACTGGTATCTGCGGTCAAGGTTTGAATACAAGAATTCTGTATTCTGTTTGTTAAGCTCGAAAATGGACGTCACCCTAACCAAAATTTACTATAGTAAACTATAGTTTACTAAAGTAAACTATAATAAATACTTTGAGACTTTGATTTTATGGTCATTTTTATTCCCCTAGGGTCTGCAGGTTTTAAGGGCGATGACACTTTTTATACATACAAAAAGGTAATTTTTAGACAAAAAACAAAATCTCCGTACTCTTTAGGTCTTTGGGGTGTTGGTGTTGATGAATGCGAGTCTCTCTCCGAGATTCTACAATTTGTAAAAAGACACAATAAAAGTGAACTAGAGGTCCATGGGCCACAACGTTCACCTGAGTAAAAACGGTCCTTCTGTTCTTCATCAGCATATTTTTTCCTACATATTCTTCCTTAGGAATTCTTCAAATCATGACCGCTTGAGGTCGGGTGAGGTCATAATATTTGATCAAAGTTTTACTTAAGAATATAAGAATATATAGGAATCCTATATATTCTCATATTCTTAAGTAAACTTTGATCACATATTATGACCCCATCCTACCCTAGGCGGTCATGATTTGAAGAAACTTCAATCTGGACTACCTGTTTATGATTCCATATAAATATGACTAATCATGGCTTTTCTGTTCTTCAGAAAACAATGACAATGATTTAAATGTATAAACATACATTATAGAGAGGAGGTAGGAAAAAAGAAACAAAGACATAGAAAGAGAATATAATACATGTATCCACATAATTCTTTTGCACAACATTGATCCCCCGTGGTGGCCCCGCCCTACCACAGGAGGTCATGATTTGAACAAACTTCAATCTACACTACCTGAGAATGCTTCTTTATAAATATAACTAATTATGGCTTTGTTGTTCTTGAGAAATATTTTTTAAAAAAAAATTGTTGATATATTCGTATAATTTGATCACCTGCCGTGGCCCCGTCCTACCCCTGGGGGTCTTGATTTGAACAATCTCAATCTACACTATCTGGGGATGCTTCTGTATTAATAAGACTAATAATGGCTTAGTTGTTCTTGAGAAGATTTTTAACGATATTTTCTTAATATTCCATTGAAAAACTTTGATCCCCTGTTGTGTCCCCTGCCTACACCATGGGGTTATGATTTGATCAAAATATGAATCTACAGTATGCAATGAAGCTTTCGTCTAAGTTTCATCTTCTCTGGCCTGTGGTTCTTGAGAAGAAGATTTTTAAAAGATGCCACCAAATTTTAACGGATTCTTAATTATCTCCCCCTTGGAAGTGAGCGTAGTACTTCTGTGAACAATTCAGATATCTTCACCCAAAGACGCTTTGTGGCAAGTTTGGTTGAAATTAGCTCAGTGGTTCTTGAAAAGAAGTCGAAAATGTGAAAAGTTTTCATACAGACAGACAGAAAGACGCCGAACACTTTTTGATCAAAAAAAGCTCACTTTAGCCTTCGGCTCAGGTGAGCTAAAAAGAGGGAAATAAGAAGGTATTTTAGTAAGTTAGAATAAGCACTAATCATTAAAGCATTCATTGTTTAATTCAACTCTTATGTTCAGAAATAATTTCTGAAGTTGACCGTTATATTTCTCTTTTTATGTTACACTGTTTATCATGGAAGCAAAAACAAAAAAATTGGAAGATGATGAATTTATTTACATGAATCAATGTTCAAAATGAAGATGAGCATGATGTGTAAATGGATTGCTAGATATGTTATTCTATATCATGATATTTGAATGAAGAAAAAAAATGCTCTATAAAATGATATATTACAAAAAATGATCATGAAAATATATACATGTGAAATATTTATATGATGTACATTTGATTGTAGATGTGATGATAGTGATATGATGATTATGATGATGAGTTGATGATTATGATGATGATGATTGTTGATCAGCGAAAGTCATGAATGACTGTCCACAATCTCGGTCTTTATCTTAGAGTCCACTAATTAGTTCACATCCTGGAACTTAATCATGAAAAAGTCATCTGGGTCACGCTGACCTAGCAGCTTCTTCAGCTTGGTGGTCATCCTCTCAGCAAACTTTGATTTTCTAAAGCTGAAAGTAGAGCCTAGTTTCTGTGGCTGTGGGTCCTTGTACTTGGCCAAGAAAGCTCTGGTTTTACTGAGGTGACACTGAAATCTTTTGATCTGTAATGATATAAATGGAGTTTTAAAACCACTTCTGTCTCTGAATCTTAATTGATAAGGTACAGAGAAGAATAAATTTGATATTTCATGCTGTTTTTATGGATTTAACATAGCTACCTTACAAATGCATACTTACATTAAAAATTGTTTCCTCGCTGTCTTCTAGGATTCTTTGATAATTTTCAGCTGCTTTAGCTTTGCCTAAAAATATACAATACCACTGATAAGAATTTATTATACAAATGATTTATAAGTAGCTTATGAGTATCTTTTAACTATAAAATGTTTAAAGTTAAAGTAATCTAGTATGTTTATAATGTGTAATTTATTGATTTTATAATATTATGTCATCGTCCGTAATAAATGATTTAATTTAATGGCTTTTGTAATTTACGTGTTGAGAAGCTAAAATCAAAACCCAATAAGATTTATTTTTTAAGTATAAAGATCGAGATTTTTATATATTAATGTTTAAATTTTGAGTTTGCTTGCATGTACATCTAGATCTGTAATCGCAATTCGCAAGAAAACCAACAATTTATTATTTATTAACCTTGATTTTACAAACGGTAGTCCTCTAATTATCAAAATACGGGCTTTTAAATAAATTTTACAAAGAACAAGAGTATATATATAATGTACCATTGTTGGCCAGATACAGTATGTGTTGATCCCACATTCTTTGTAAGGTAGACAAGTCTGTTGCCGTCACGCAGTTTTTCTTCAAATCCTCCATAAACAAAAAGGCAAACAAAATGTACTTCTTCTGTTGATCTATAAATAAACGACATATTAGAAATAATAAATTCATGCATAAAAACCGAAAAAATGAAAAGTTACATGATCTAATAATATTTTAATTAAGTACACTGATACATGTACATGAGCTCTAGGAAAGGTGAGGTAGATTTGTCTTACTAGCGACATCCTTGTCGTTGGAATAGGGAAATCCTACATTTCTTGGTGTGTCTTTTCCATACAGGAAAATTAGGATTTGAAGAATATTCTTTCTCTGCATGGAAAATAAAATAAAGAAAAAGATTAGAGTCTTTCTCAATTATTAGACCAGTTTCTCTATCATTCTTCTGATAAATTTATTTCCTTATAAGTTTATTTTTATTCTGTAATTAAAACATATCTAAAATCACTACAGTTGAAAATTATAGACAATGATATCACTTATATAACTAAGAAAACATTTTAACAAAGCTTACCACAGGCGCCATTGTCCTTGTGTTTGTGTTGGATACGTATTCTAGCAAGACTGATCTCAAGCGTTGTTCAAATAACTTGTTTCCGAGTATTTCAGTTTCCATCTTTGTTACAATCTAGAAATTTTCTCTAAAATATGTCTCCGTGTGCTTCCTTGTAAATAAAACTCGAGAATGGTTCGCAACCTTTATGATGTCAGTATATTATGACGCAGTATTATTATGACGTCATCAAAACTCCCAAAACCAATTTCGGTTGCGACTGAAACATTCCCGTAAAACTGTTACTACTCGAAATTAAAATGATTTAAAGTGGAATCTGCTCAGACATTATTTATTTATTTATAAATTAATATCTAAAATACTGTTAAAAGTCATCACTTTATGCATCTACAGATCTGTATGATCACAAACGAACATCTATAGACACTACAGATTGATAGAACTTTCTTTTATAATCGGTGATGGGTTTATCCCAAAGATGCTCTTTTCAGTCTCCTTTCAGGCCCGTAGGAAGCAAATTCAGTTTGGGGGGCACAGTCATACATTTTCAGTTGACAGTTGAGGGGGCACTACCAAAAATTTCCTGACAAGCCAAAAAAAAGGTAATCAGACGTTTTTATTGAGGGGGCACAAGCATATAGTATCTACGTTTACTATAGTAATCTATATATCGGCAAAATTATTGGGGAGCACGCCCCCCCCCCCCTGGTTCCTACGGCCATGCGTTTTGCTTGACTAACAATCGATTTTGTCATGAAAATAGGGGAGACAACCTAGACTGATGTTTTAATATATGTACATGTATGACTGACAAATTGATGGTGATCGGGTGGTAAGTGGTGAGGCAGGGTGAGGGGTTCAGAACGGCAAAATGGTCGATTACATCATGATGAACTTATGTCTAAGGATTGTGTCCTATACAAGGGAACACAGAGTCATCTTGCTAGTATCTTATATGACTAACCATTAGCCTAGTTGATGGAAACGTGTCTGAATCTGCTTCCAAATGGGGATGGGGTAGGGTTGTGTTATTAAATATTTCTAAAAGAATTAAAAAATTAGATGTGAGGATTAATTAAGGATGATTTTATCATAGTTACTCTACTCATCCTCTTTTTCGAGGTGACATCTTCCAGACTTAGCTAAATTTTGCACTCGACACACCTCGGCCGATTCGTACCTCATTTGATGAAGGTGACGGAATCAGCCGAGGTTTGCCGAATGAAGGTGACGGAATCAGCCGAGGTTTACCGAATGCTAAATTTTGGTCACCGCCGACACGTGATCAGTCATGAAACAACAATTTTCAGATTTTTAAGATCGGCAGTTAGGTGTAACAGAGGGTACATTTCATTAAAATGATATTTTTTTTCTCTTTAAGCGAATTTTTAATTCGGCCGAATTTATATTTTTCATTTACAATGTATTACAATAAATAGCATTTTATAACACTCTTTTAACTTTTTCACGTCGTTCATATGTTTAGATTTTTTTAAATAAGAATAAAATTATAACTAGCAATAGGATAGTTTTAAATGATTCTTTCTGCTAGTGTTTCACAAGTTATCCGCCCTTTTGAAAAAAAGAAGAAATTCTCCCAAATGAAAGTATTTTATCCGCCGAATTAAAAAAAAATCCACTTAAAGATGAACTCATAATACACATGCCCTTTAACAAAATACGCGGACCTCTTAGCTAGAGTCTTTACTTGTTACACATTGAGAAATGTAGAATTATGTTTAATAATTTCAATATAAAACTGGAAAACTACATACATGTATATACAAAAATCATAGTCACCTTGTCAATATGCAAACATTTTCCGGGACACATTATGTGCCGATTTTTATGAAGACATATAGCTTTCTTGTCTATTTGTTCGTCCGTCTGTCTGTCTGTTATCCGCATGAACTTTAACCTTGGTTATAAATTTGATTTGTAAGAGCTATGCCATTCATATCAATTTCAAAAGTGTATTTATTTCCTATGACAGGACCTTTCTTTGGGTATCTTTATTTTTGACATCGACTTTTGAGGGTTTCTTTAGAAAAAGATATCCTTGGTCATAACTTTTGAAAATTTGGTGCTAAGGCTTTCATATGCCAAAAGTGTATTTCTTGTGACAACACCTTTTTAGTTCACCTGAGCTGAAAGCTCAAGTGAGCTTTTCCGATCACCCGCTGCACGTTGTCCGTAAACTTTTCACATTTTCAACTTCTCAAGAATCACTGGACCAATTTTAACCAAAGCTGGTACATAACATCCTTCGGTGAAGGGGAGTTTAAATTGTAAATTGCCCCCTTCCAAAGAGGGGTAATCAAGAAAAGACAAAAATAGGGTGGGGTCATTAAAAAATCTTCTCAAGAACCACTAGACCAGAAAAGCTAAAACTTATGTGGAAAGCTTTCTGAGGTAGTGTAGATTCTAAATTGTTCAAATCATGGCCCCAGGGGTTTGGTGGGGCCACAATAGGGAATCAAAGTTTTACATTGAAATATATAGAAAAAATCTTAAAAAATCCTCTTCCCAATAATCACTGGGACAGAAAAGCTGAAATTTATATGGAAGCTTCCTGAGGTAGTGTAGATTCTAAATGGTTCAAATTATGACCCCAGGGGTATGGTGGGACCACAATAAGTACTACAAGGCGGGGGAGGGGGGGGGGGATCTGGTGAAGAACTGCAGGGCGAAAGTTACTCAGGTGAGTGTTGAGGCCAATGGGCCTCTTGTTTTGAGTACAAACTTTGACCTTGGAATTTGATCTACTTTTGAAAAACCTTAACCTTGGCCATAATTTGTTAATGGTTGAAGCTAGGGCTTTTCATACATCACATGTGTATTCCTTGTGATAAGACCTTCTTTGGATACCAATATTTTTGATCTATGATCTTGGAGTTTGACTTGCATTTGAGAAACTTTAACCTTTGCCATGAGCTGCCATATAGGGGCATCAGTGTTACACAAACACATCGTGTTTAACAAGCCCCCTCATCTGAAGATACACTCATTAAAAAGTACTCCATATAATATGAATTACTTAATCTACTTCTAACTTAAACTTTGGTAATCTCAAATGCATCTCCCCTTCATCCTAAATGCAATGATTTTGACTGGGCTGGGACATATAAATTTTACTTGCTTCTATAATCACACAGAACACTTAACATTCCGATCACTGACCAGATTGTGTATCAGTGTAGTAGACTAGTAGCCATTACATTTCCTCATATCTGACATGTATTTAATGCATTTCAATTTCATGAAAGAAATGAAATCCAAAGGAATTAAATTATGAGAAAGATACATCAGTAATACCATTGTACATTTGGGCTGGCCAATGTTAAACAATGCATCAAGAGTAAATGTTACCGGGTTCACTAAGTAACAAATATTGTTGGTGTTCCAATCCTTTATATATCCAATATTCAATATTCAATATTCAACAGTCTGAAATAAACACAGACATTATTTAACACACAACAACACACACACATATAAAATACACAAAGAGAGATAACTCTTCTTGTTTCTTAATACTCACTATTCAATAAATATTTCAGGCATAAAAACTATTTCTCATATTAGTTTAATATTGAGATTATTCCTACAAAAACTATAATTAACTGTATATGATTTACTTTCTTTGTATATCGTAATTCTTGTAAACTTCAGTGAATAAAATACGACAGCAGATATTCAAATGTAAGTCACTACTATTAATGAAATAGATACGTTTCCCGTTATGATTCACATAACAATGGAATGTAAATACATAATATACAGACTCACATTACACCTAACATGATACAAACATATACATCACATATCTTACCCAATATATGGTATCAGACCCTTGTTATATATACAGCAATTCAGCTACATGTACATCATATCAAGTGGATCTGAATAATAACAAATATCATAATATACTCTTTACTTATTAATTTATAAAAAAATGATTCACACATTCACTTTTACTATTCATCAAATGAATGTATTTATAATATTAAAATCAACTGACCTTCTATGGATAAATAAAGTCCAAGATCAATATATCACAAGAACTGAATGACCAAACTGATCATTTCAGACTCAATTTGAAAAATAATAATATTAATAGAAACTTCAAGATAAAAATCACATGACTTAAACTTTCAGCCAACCAAAACAAGAATTCAATGATCCATGAAAAACTGACCAGAACTGGTATGGAAATCCATTTCTGACATATTTAAATAGAATGAGAATAAATTTATGGAAAGCTGTTACTGTAAATGATAAATGTTTTAAATTAAATTTATTTTATAATCTGTTAAAATAAATCAACTCACACACTACTACATAAATACAAATATTAGTATTATAATTTTATTCATTCTCCAAAAAAAAACACAGTTAAACAGTAATAGTTAAGAACAAACCACAGTTTCCATAAAATTCTGGACCAAAAAAAAAAACTAAAAAGAATATTTAGTAAAAACTTCTAAGTAATCGATAACATTTCTTATCTGTAAATAAAAAAATATGCAAACGTATATTTCTAAAATATGAAGGTGCAATTTCAATGTTTCAATGAATGAAAATCAAAAAAACAAAAACACAAAAAATTAGAAGCTAGCTGCTCCATCAATCAAATATTAGCTTGGATTCATCTGGCCAATCAAATCTGAGGAGACAGTCATCAAATTTTACTTGGTACCTGTAGCTTATTCAGCATTTCAGATTTCAAGACTCCTATGTACATGAAGTAGAGTAACATATGTACATACAGGATGGTCCATAAATCGTATCTAACTTGTACATGTATATAAGCAAGAAAAGTTTCAAACATGTTTCAGTTCCTAAAAACTTTCCTATTCATTTGTATCATTGTGTGTCATAGCATTGTACACCAACCAAATGACAAAATAAATCTCAAAAGATGTATACATACAAAACTTATTGTAGACATACTTTTTTCCAAGTAAGATCAAGATTATTGTACACATGCAATTACTAACTTGCCTTAGAAATTTGTCACGGAGTAATAATACATGAATAAAAATTACATACATCTAACTCTGTCTGCATAGCTAGAACAAATTCATGTAATTTTCTTACACACAGATTAAACTGAAATTGTGAGACCATGAATGTCTTGTGTGATTTGCTGAATCATAAAGTGGCAAACATTTTATTCACTTCCAGCTGAATACAATCTATAGCAATTCCTCGAGTATTGTCAAAGAACGGTATAGGTATGAAAACCACGTACATCCCTTCACACCATGAACTGTTCCTTTGTGTTGTTCTGCCCTCTTCTCCATTTAACACATGAGACTGGTTAGTTCTCAGTTCATGGTGACCATTTTCCACATTAAATGGGTAGGATAGATTGTTATTTCTCTCACTCGTCTGCACAGATTTTCCTGGGGCATACATTGTAACAATACGGACATCCAAAAAATCCATTAAACTGAACCATTAAGTTCTGAAAGAGGCATTTTGCTGGTGGGTAGAACACTCCATTCAATAGATTTGCTCTGATCAGTTGACTATTTACCTCAAATCTTAAAACAAATAAAAAATAACATATACTGCAAGTATCAATCTACTTAAAATTAGATGTAAGATCCACCTCGCATACTCGTTGGTTATATACATGAATATTGTGTAAGGTGTACGGTAAATGTATTTTACTTTGGGCATACAATATTCAGCAGAAATTGATTTTTCAACAAGTTAGCATAGATTTGATTTAGCGTTTTTTGAATGTGCTCTACATGAACATATATACACAAAACCTTTAGCAGCGTACTTGATTTAGCAGAAGCTGCTTTTTGGGAAAGGCGCTAAATAGAATACACTGCCAAATCTTTAATATGTTTAATATAAGTTTACAGTATGCGAGCAAATCTAACATCTTATTTTATATAGATTGTACTGGTATCTTCTTGTTGACAACTTAATCTAAAGCCATGACTTTCTTCTACTAATTTTTCAATAATTTCTTTAAAAATTCGAGATTCTATGAAAAATTATGCCTAGGCAAGTTGAGATTAGCTTAAATGTAACAACTTCAAGCTAAAAACTTGTTAAGACAGTCAATCAAGTCAAATCTTAGTTTATGATTACCAAACTTTGAATTAAAAAATGCTTTATTTTTTAATTATTTCAGGTCAATACACATGATACATATTTTTTGACTTAAGCATAAATGTCTCATGATTCAGCTAGGGCCTGATCATAAGGACACATAGCTGCATTGTGATGAAATAAGATCATTACTGGCATATGCAAATCAGAACTGTAAATTTCATGAAGAATCTCAGAGAAAGGTTTCAGAAAATAAAGTCCATGGTAAAGGTCAGATAAAAAAAATCATTACACCAGAAAGTATTATCATGAAAGTATTACAATTTCAAGCATTAATATTTATGATTCCAAAAAAAATCAATATAAAAAAAAAATAAATATTGTCTTGGTTACTCTTTTACCTGTTTACCACTCATTTACATAAATGTACCAAATATTCGATGGCTAAACATGTACACACACACACACACACACACACACTGAAAACCTCCTTAATGATGAAGAATACAGATGTTAAAGGATGAAGAATGAAACAGGAAGACACCATTAGTGTTTGTTTAAAAAAGAAATGTGGAGCTATCCTTCATCTTTTGTGCTGCTATAGAAATGTGGACTTATCCTTCATCTTTGTGCTAATATAGAAATGTGGAGCTATCCTTCATCTTTTGTGCTGCTATAGAAATGTGGACTTATCCTTCATCTTTGTGCTAATATAGAAATGTGGAGCTGTCCTTCATCTTTTGTGCTGCTATAGAAATGTGGACTTATCCTTCATCTTTGTGCTGATATAGAAATGTGGAGCTGTCCTTCATCTTTTGTGCTGCTATAGAAATGTGGAGCTATCCTTCATCTTTTGTGCTGATATAGAAATGTGGAGTTATCCTTCATCTTTTGTGCTGCTATGGAAATGTGGAGCTATCCTTCATCTTTTGTGCTGCTATGGAAAAAGCCATCATTGTCAAACCTCTCTTCATACAATAAGTAATCTATGTTGTCTGTAATTTTTCCATCTACTTGCTGTTTTCTTTTCTGCTCCAAATTTGCCTGGACTAACGTTCCATCTAAAAATTCATAATACATGTATATAAATAACAATATACAACAACATAAACTCTTCTTCCATTATTTAAAAAAAAGTCAAACAATATTTCATTATGTGAAAAAAAATAATCTCCAAAATCTAATTTCTTGGGACAGTTATAATAAAGAAATAAAATATTGATTGATACAGTTGTGTTTTATGTGTACAAATATAGGTGATTCTTTATAATTGTATTATACCTGCAAAGATTTTTGAGATGATTGGAATTACCATGCAGGAAGTACAAACTTGAATCCTTTTTAGTTGGACGATGGCTATTGGGATAGTTCTGCTGCACCTCACCATGGTATGTGAAACATTTTTCACAATAACTATCCAACACTTTAAAAAGGTATGCATTTATCTCATTTGTGTATCGTAATGGTTTCTTCGATTGCCCTGACTGGTTGCATGTCCTTCAGAACATCTCTTTTAACAGTATATAGTTATTCACCTGCGTGTTTCCTCATGTGTACCTTTAAGTATCCTGAGTTGGTATATGCTTTCTCACACACACCACATTTAAAAGATTTAACACCTGTATGTGTCCTCATGTGTATGTTTAAGTTTCCTGATTGGCTAAATGCCTTCCTGCACACATCACATTTATAGGGTTTATCACCTGTATGTGTCCTCATGTGTTTCTCTAAGGCCATTGAATCCCTGAATGTCTTCCCACACACGTCACACTTAAAAGGTTTTTCACCTGTATGTGTCCTCATGTGTATGTTTAAGTTTCCTGCCTGACTGAATGCCTTCCCACACACACCACACTTGAAGGGTTTATCACCTGTATGTGTCCTCACGTGTTTACGTAAGTTTCCTGAGTGGTTAAATGCCTTCCCACATACATCACAAATAAAAAGTTTATCACCTGTATGTATCATAATGTGCATGTTTAAGTTTCCTGATTGGTTAAAGGCCTTCCCACACACATCACATTTATAAAGTCCATCCTCTGTGTGTGTCTTCATGTGTCTTCGTAAGTTCCTAGACCTGTTAAATGTTTTTTTACATACATCACATTTATAAGGTTTATCACCCGAGTGTATTATGATGTGACTCTGTAAGTCTCCTGATCGGATGAATGCCTTCCCACACACATCACATTTAAAGGGTTTCTCACCTGTATGTGTCCGCTTGTGAATCTCCAAGCGATCTGGACGACTGAAAGCTCTCCTGCAGATGTTACATTCATGAGGCCTCTTACTTTCATGTAAACTGACGTGTTTTTCTAAATTCTCTGTTTGATTGTTATTGGCACTACTGTTGTTTAACTTTTCAGCATCACTTTGACTAGGTGAAATGGATGGAAAAGCTGCCTGTTCCCTCTGTAAAGAACACAAAGAAATCACTCAAAGTTTAGCTGAAAAGTTTTGAAAAAGAGTAGTCAAAAAATTTAGAAAGTAGTTCACCATGACTTTTCGAAACCCTATTCCTGGGGGGTCATATATGAATTTACACTATCTGAGGGTGTTTTCATATCAACATCACTAATCATCACTTTGCCATTTTTGAGAAGATTTTTTAAGAATTTTTCCTATATTTCCTCTCACATAGTTACATGTATAGACTGTATAACCCTCTTGAGACTGCCTCTGCATTTATATGTACCCGGTATACTTACAAATACAGGAAATGAAGCTGCAGGGGAATGCTTGATGTGGAAACAAATAAAGGGAGGTGGTCTAGGGGGCACCTTGAGGCCACTAGTAAGGTCTAGGATGAAGCCCTGAAGGGGATGTAAGGGGCATCATCCCCTAGGTGAATTTTCAGCATTTCTGATAGCTAAATTCAAGTGTCTATGAAAGTAGATTTGCTGCAAATTAGTCTGAATTTCAACATCTAGCATGTTTAAAATCATTATTTCATCTTGAAATTTTATAAATATTGTATATACTTGCCTAAGTCAGTTTGCTTATAAAAAAAGTAGGAACTAAAAAAATTAGAAAGAGTAGGAACAAGGAAAAGCATGAAAAAGAAAAACCATTGACAAGGAAATGTTGGAAAGAGTAGGACCAAGAAAATTGAGTAGGATAACTAGTAAAAAACAAGAGGCCCATGGTCACAACGCTTACCTGAGTAACTTTGGCCCTGCTGTTCTTCACCAGATTTTCCCCTTGTAATACTTATTGTGGCCCAACCCTAATCCCCAGGGGTCATGATTTGAACAATTTAGAATCTACACTTCCTCAGTAAACTTCGACATAAATTTCAGCTTTTCTGGCCCAATTGTTCTTTAGAAGATTTTCAAAGATTTTCCTATATATTTCAATGTAAAATGTTGATTTCCTATTGTGGCCCCACCCTATGGGGGGGGGGGGGGGGGCATGATTTGAAGAATTAAGAATCTACACTACTCCAGGATGCTTCCACATTAGTTTCTGCTTTTGTTGTCCAGTGGTTCTTGAGAAGAGATTTTTAAATTACCTTACCCTATTTTTGTCTTTTCTTGATTATCTCCCTTTTGTAAGGGAGCTTGGCCCTTCATTTTGATAATTTGAACTCCCCTTCACCCATGGATGTTTTGTACTAATTTTGGTTAAAATTGACCAAGTGGTTCTTGATAAGAAGTTGAAAATGTGAAAAGTTTACAGACGGATGGACAGATGATGGACAACAGGTGATCAGAAAAGCTCAATTGAGCTTTCAGCTCAGGTGAGCTATGAAGTACATGAAAATTAGAAAGCCTAGAGATGGACATACATGTAGCGAGAACTGAACAGGTCCTAAAAATTTACCTCCATTATTTTTTGCTGTTGATTTTCTTCACCCTCAGGGTCAGAGATTCCAAATGTCTGTTTAATTTCTACAATCAGAACAAGCTATATGTGAAAAATTAAACTGGGTACAGGCTATACACAGGCTACATGTACACACAGGCTATACACAGGCTACACACAGGCTATACACACAGGCTATACACAGGCTACACACAGGCTACACACAGGCTATACACAGGCTATACACAGAACTGAGTGTAGATTTCAGCTTAAATTAAACCCAAGTTCCATAATAATGATAATTTAAATGTTTCCTATCAAAAAGATTTAGTACATGTAAAACATTGATCTCTAGCTATTGTGGATACCAAGGAAGACCATGACTTTTAGAACTTAATTTGAATCTGCACAATGTCTGCATGCTTTCATAAATTGTAAATGTGGTATATACCGAGTACATGTATTTACTAATTTGACAGATTTTCTATAAATATAGCGGCAAATTGTTAAAATTCAGAGATTTCCACCAAAATAATTAATATCTAGATTTTTGACTTTGTGGGGTTTTTTTTCTTATCAAGGGTGTCAAAAACAAAGGCACCAAATATAAACATGGAAAAAACTTAGAATGGCCTTATCACAATCATTACACACTTGAGTCTAAACAAGAAACTGTATTTAGCTTTAATCATACACTAGCAAGAATGGGTGCAAAAGACACTAAAATATGGTTACTGCTAAAATATGTCTATTAATTGACAGTATTTATCATCATTTCTGGCCTTCAAAACATCACTTTTTAAGGCACATGAATATTTTTGCCTTTTCTTAATTATCTCTCCCTTCAAATGCATGACTCATTGTTCAAACAATCTTGATTCCCTTTATGCAAGGCTGCATTGTGCATTGAAATTGGACTAGTCAGGTTTTTTGGCGGGGAAAATGAAAAATTAAAATGTTAATTAATTAAATTAAGAGAGATTGACTTACAAACAGATGACAAAGTTTGATCAGAAAAGCTCAATTGACTAGCTTTTGGCTCAGGTGAGCTAAAACTGTAGCACTATAGCAAACAAGAAAGAAAAGCTAACTCATTCATCAAACATTCATAAACTGAAGATATTTCAGAAAATTTTCATACAGGAGCAACTTTCAAATCAATGACTGCTATCCTCTGATTTTAGAGGATAAAATCTATCCTCCAAAAACGGAGGCCTCCCAGACCTGATAAAATTATCATTGTTGCCAACTGTAAGCTGCCTAATTTTGGGGAAAAATGACGGTTTGACCCAAGACAAGCTAAACTATTCTAACTTACCTAAAATTCAATTCTTTATCTTGAACAGGTTGGGCACAATTCCCCTTTTAACAGGTTGGGACCAATCGACCAAATGGGATATACATGTAATAACCCGTCTGGGATATAATATCCGTTATACACTCAAGCTCAATAAAATGGTGCAAATGATGTCGCTGGGGGTTAAGCGTAAAAAAAATAATGAAATGTCAAAGAAAATACTTTTTGAATGAATGCATGAATATGTAACCTTTAAGGCAAAAATACAAAAATGAAGTAAACATTTAATCATATTGAGATATTTTATTTGGCATATAGTGATTTTTTGAAACGTACGTTACTGTCGCCAACATCGACTAATTACACTTAAATGGCTATTTTTTGTACAAATAACAGTTGAATCTTATGTCTTCAAAACATTTATTTGTAAAATGCTTTTAATAAATTATTGAGCATAATCACAAATATATTACCAAACTTTGATTTGATATCCCCATGTTGCCAGAAACAAAATAAAAATGGACTGTGACATTAAATATAGTATGAGTATTCGGTATTGTATGCCTGTAAGATTGGGATACGTTTTATTTTGAAGGAAACTTCTTGAAAATTAAAAATAAATGGTACAAAGCCTTGTATATGTTACCAATACTTTGAAATTAAATTCTATCTTCCTATTTTACATGCGTATGGATAGGCATGAAACATTCGTTGTATTAGTTTAATAGATGAAATAGAATGATATCATAGTTAAACATGTGATACTTTTTCTTCTATCCAACAACTGTATTCCATGCTCCAACCATGATTTAACAATGTCTTATTGTTAGCTTACTATTTAAGAGAAAATGATTAAATGAAACAACCGTTACCAAAACATTCGTTACGAAACCTCTTAAAAAAAGAATGATTTATGAGTTCAAACATCTTCTGCACATATACGTAGTCAAATATTTTGCGCCAGTATTCAAATTTTGACATTCGGAGTATGGTACTGCCTTTTTATGATTTTTTTTCTAAAGTCTAGACAGTGTTGGCGAGTTTGTTTTCTACAATTAATGCAATAACAATGAATCAAATGGAATGAATTGGTATGTAACTGTTAATATTTATATAATGACCGACAACAACTACGCAACCAATATCAATCTACACCTGAATGTCCTCTGTTAGTCTTGAAAAGTGTTGAAACATTCGTTACCGAAGGTAACGAATGTTACGAAATTTTTAACAAATCATATATCAAAATTGCAACAATATTTACAGAATTTCTTTCATGACTAATTGTTCGAATGTAAACTTTATAGATTGATTTGTATCATTTTAAGCTTAAGTTGCATAAATTTTAATATAAACTGATTCTAGAGACGCATTATTGAACACACACATTAATTCTGAAGAAAAACATTAATTGAAATTATTTTGAAAGACATTTTTAGATTGAATAATATGATATTGATTAAACAAAGGCTTGAGTTTCTATTCTGAATCTACATCAGGGTTTTTTGTTTCTCTCTTATAATTTTGATACTGTTAAACTCGCATTTTATGTTAAGTAACGTACGTTTCAGCATTTTATTTTAGTTGAACTATGGCATTGACCCAAGCAGAAATACGAAGGAAGTTTCCATTGATGGTTAAATGATTTCAAGCTAAAAGTCATCAGAAAAATTGTTATTTACATTATTTTAGGTTCTGTTAAAACGTCTATACAGACAATTTACATATATCTCTTATCCGTTTGTACATATAGTACAGTTCAAGGAAAATATGACACGATGATATATATGATGCAGTTCAAATTATGATTTCTTTTGACATTTTCAATACCATGGCACAAGTAGAGCAGAAATTACATCTCATGAATTGGTCCATTTTGTTGGAATTAATCTTAAAAACAGTAAATATTACTTCTCATGAAACATTCGTTACATATGAACGTTGTTGCATTTGAAAGTGTAAATAAGAACAAGATCACAATTCATGAACAACATTTTATTTAACTTTTCTATAAATGGATCTTCTTTTCATTAATTAGAACCCCCATTTGCGCTGGGCAGTTTTGATTTTTCTTGAGGCATATTTGAAATATAAAATTTTAGAGATATGTCAAATTCATTTGAAGAAAAAAATATAATACGACAATTTGACTGCATCAATTCATAAAATACATTATGACAGTTGACCTTTTTTGTCTTATCACGAAAGTAAATAGACTGATTTGCTTTTGACATTGAGGATTTATTACAATCTATATTATTTCATCCTAAAATCTTAAAGGAAAACTATAATATTATACGTAACGCTTGTTTCTCAGCAAATAATGATCAACAATACACCTTTATTTCAAAATGACGTAATTTCTTAACCAATGAAGTTAACTTGAAAAATCTTTGGGAATACAAACTTGATATGTTGATCTATCCGAAAATGTTATTAGCAGATGGATAATCAAAAGTCGATTTTTGAAGAAAAAATATCTTGAATTGCACCAATTTATTGAGTTTGAGTGTTTATCCCAAAATATTTACATTTCCAATGTCTTTGTCCGAGATAAATTACAAATTGTAAAAATACTTTATTTCTACATAAATCTACTGGTTCATCGATAGGCGCGGTTAAAAAAAATCACGTGCGGGGCGTGACAAATAGAGACAGAAGCGGGGCTATTAGCACGGGAATTTGCAGAATCAGGAGCATGTAAATATAAGGAATAACTGTCAGATTTTTTGGATTCATGACGATGATCAATCGATTGGCTTGCGTGATAATTTTATGCATAAACGCCTCGATTGATCACATCATGAATCCAAAAAATAAGACAGTTATTTCTTAATGGGATATAAATTTACAGTGCAAAAAAATGAAAATTTTTATTTTGGCTTTAATATCATAAATCCGCATCAAAATACTTTAAAAGGAATAACTTTTGGCAAGCAAGTTTTTCTGCAACCCTACGGGTTGTTAGATTGATCCCCAAGAAGTTTACGAACTGCCGAGGGATCAATCTCTTAAACAGCGGTACGTCATACAGAAAAACTTGTTAACTAAAAGTTATTCCTTTATAAGTATCTTGATGCGGATTTGTGATATTTATAGCAAATATAAAATTTTCTTTTTTTGCATTGTAAATTTATATCCCATTTGGGATATTATATCCCAAACGGGCTATTATATCCCATTTGGTCGATTGGTCCCAACCTGTTTAATAATAAAAACATTACTGTATACGGGAATTTTCTTCATATTTTTATTGCTATGTCGGACGAAAGGGAGTAACATCTCCCCCGGTCTTTTCATTACGGAGGCATAAAAGGAAACAAAGCAGTACTTACTGAATAAAATCTGTTAAAAAGCGTCTGATTAATGGTGCTTTGAATTTTTCACAAGTGACAGATCCAGTGGCACATGGTTTTCGCATTTCGATCCCGACGTTAATTTGGACACGCCCACTTTATCGGTTTTTTTTAAAATTGTAATAGGGCAGGAGAAAAAAAGTACACGAACAAGACTTTTAAACAAACTTAGTGAAAAGATCTCTTTTTACATTAAAATCTCTCTGTTAAAAAGATAGCCTTAGATAGTACAGCAAATAAACATAAATACTTCATATTGTCTAAATTCCATAAAACGCAGTTTTTAAGGTAGGTTCGGGCTTTCAAAAATTTCTGTCAATCAAATATTTTCTATTTAAAAATCTAAAACAACTTACAAGCTAACAAAAAAGCCCATATAAGGCATACCTTACCATGCTTATTTTCATTGAAAATATTTGAAAATTCATGTTAAATTGCCCAGGTCCTTCCGAAAAAAAATAACATAATTTTGAATATTTCTGAAAATTTTAATTGCTTACATGTATTTTTTTCTAAAACAATATTTAGATTTATATCTAAGGTTAACAAAAATGCATATTTTAACACGGTTGATCACATACATAGATTTTGCATAACAGTCTTGTGATCCTGAATACCCCTATTTTATAGAGTAATTCTTTGCAAACTTTGAAAATAGTAACATGAAAAAGCAAGCACTCTCTTAAAATCATGAAAAATATAACACAGGGCAATTTGACAACTACTCCAAAAACTTTAACCTGGTCACTCATCCGAAAAATTAGGTCAGATCCAGCATCCATAGAAAGTCTGGTAGTGTGCATCCTTAGATGTATCATCCATGCAAGTTTGGTCGATCAATGTAGGGCTTATAGTTACTTATAGTCAATATAGGGCTTATAGCTCCAAAAACTTTAACTTGCTCCAAAAACATAAACCTGATCATTCTTTAGCTGAAATTGCAGCATCTGAAACCTTGACTGGTACAATAAATATAATAAAAGCATTTTCTATATATGCATCTCTGATTAATGTAGGGCATGGAACTAGGTACTTGTAAAGAAATCTGCTCCAAAAACTTAAACCTGTGACGCCAACACCGACGATATTACATAAGCCCCCCCCCCCCAACTTTGTTCAGGTGAGCTAAATAAATGATTTATTCGTGTTTGTAAAATTTTGGAACTAGTTTGTGTTTAAAACAGATTAAAAATCTTACATACAGCTGAATGCACTAGATTAGAGTTGTTTTGTGTTTTTTTTTTTTTTTTATCTTTTTTATCTTTTTTACACTGTGTTTTATACCACATTTTTGCTATTTGGTCAATATAGAAAAATATATTCATGAAAATCTTTTTTTACAACCTAATCATGCAATGATTTTAAAGACAGTATGATAATACGGCTGGAATGCAGTGAACATTCGCTAAAAGCTTTTCAAACTTTTGGAACATCATTCAAAAAAAGTTTTTTAAAAAAAATCTAAAATCATACCATACGGGGTGTATCCAGGTTTTGAAGTTGGTGGTGGTCGGGGGTGGGGGTGAATTAGGCAGGATGTCTGGGTCCACTCTGAGATCCCCCGATGGCAAAACCCCTGAAATCTCCTGGATTCTCATTTTTAGAGATTAACTAGGACAAAAATATTTAAAGTCTTCTATGAAGATTTTTATGTTATTTCTTGATACATGTACAATTAATGAAAAGAACTATAATAAAACTATTTATATCTTAGGAATCATACCCACGAAGCTCTGCCTTGGCAGAATACAGAAATAAAGCCTATATTATACCCCTTTATTCAAAATTTCATTTCTTTTAATAGACGAAACCATGATTTATCTTAAATTTGATAATTTTAGGGAGGTTTTCGCCGTCCTTAAATCCCTTACTGACATAGAAGTGCATGAGGAATAAATTTCCCCGACCCAATCAAAACAACGACATTATGAGAACTGAACAGTTGTGTTAGTTTGAATGTACATGTAGAGAACCTACTTGAAACAATAAGGTCTGATGCACCCATGTAATTTTTTTCCAAAAAAAAAATTCAAGGAAATATGAGTACATATTTTGTATTATTTTTTTTTCTTCCAAATATACTGCCTATGCATGACTCCGGTCCTGGTAAAAAGGATACTCCATGTAATTCGGAGTTAGATACCTTGAGTAATTTTTATGCTGCAACATAAATTTTTTGTTTACAGAAACAAGTATCTGTGGTTCAACGATATAAAATGTATTGTGTAGAATTGATTAAAATTAATCTTAGCATGTATAAGTAATGGATAACTCCTAAATCAGGATAAACCATGTAACTACAAGCAGTCCTTTAAATATCTAACACGTTGTTTTTTTTTAAATAAAACAGAAACTGAATGTGCTTTATGATTTTCTTTTGGTTGTTGACTACGGAATGGTCCCTCTACCTGATTAATACATAGGGCTCACGGCGGGTGTGACCAGTCAACAGGGAATGCTTACTCCTCCTAGGCACCTGATCCCACCTCTGGAATTTCCATTGGTCCGTGTTATATGCTCTCTATGCTCTCTTCACATACTTGTATTGTTTCTAGATTTTTTTGAGATCGACCACCGCTCGTTGTCTTCAACTTAAATATTTGATTTGTAAAATCACCACATTTTGCATGCATTACTTGAAATACGTACATTATATATTTATAAATGGATATTAAAACAGAAATCGGGGGGGGGGGGGGGGAGTTCTCTTCCAGAAATATCAAGCTCGGGAGCATGCTGCTGGGCATTCCCTGTGAATCCACATTTCACTTTGTTTGATCCCCAAATTGTCAACGATAATTTTTCTGTGAATAGTGTAATAATGTGTATAACCTGAATAATATAATGCTACACTCTGAATTTATAAATTTCAAAATAAGTGCGATTTGAAGACGAGAAGGACTTAAGGCAAATTTGCATGTAGCATTTGCCTCCATTACACTTGACAAGTTGATAAAGATGATAAACGTCATTTCATGAGATGACAGTTGTAAAATGTAGCACCTTTGTGTGGACTATGCATTTTGAAAGCATCAGTTTTCCAATATTCCAGTTAACTCAAATTCACTAAAATTTAATTATAATTAGCTATATATAGTAAACACTGATATTTTGTATGTCATTGCAACGAATATTTCTTTTGTTTTTAAAGTAATGGGCGTGTCATTATGCAACAAATAACTTTCGGTAAGAAAGACCCAAACGATTTATTCAAACGAATTACCACTCCAGTGCACAGCATTGTAACTATTTCCTGTGTGATTCAGTATTCTTCAGGGTATATAGTAAAACTTTACATTTGTGACAAAATAGGAAAACTAATTCAAACTTAAAATAAGGGATGGGTATCGGCAAAAATTTCGTATCGTGATATATCACGATTTTTTTTCCCCACAAATATCACGATAAATCGTGATATTTTTACACACAATTTTTACTACAATTTCAAATGAATTTCCAAAATATTTCTTAAAAATATGCTATAAAAACATAACTTTATTTTTTAAATTTTTATTAATTTGATATAAAGCTCGTTTGGATGCCGTTGTTTAACTGTTTTCAACATTTTTTACACTTCCTGTAATAGTCATTCCATAGTTTGAACAAATAAATGAATAATTTCCGGAATTTATAGTTATGTACGAAATACCGGTATTTTAGTCTCCGTATCACGATGCGTATCACGCAATAAAAAATCGCGATATACCGGTATACCGATAACATCGCACATCCTTACTTAAAATGTTACGTAAACAAAAAAAAAAAGATTTTGATAACAAGTACATACACTGTACTTGTATGGGTTTATAGTTTGATGATTTTTGTAAGGTATAATTTCAGCTAACTGTTGTTGTATTGAAACACTTTGACAAATCCTTCGTCGTAACCAACCCACAGAGTAGACTTGTGTAGTGATAATCTGACTGGACGACACACTTTTTCTGTCAATAAAAACTTCAAGAACTCCCCGTCAGGACTCAGTAGATGGATCTGTTTGTTGTTAAGATCAGGAACAAGGATGTTACAGAGGGAGTCACACACCACATCAGTTGGTCTAAAGTCCTTTGTCATGTTCTGTCCATGGTAGACAGACTTAATACGACCAGAGGGAGACATAATCACTAGATCACCTATAGTCTTACTTGTACGGTTCACAACACAGATATCACTGTTACTGTTCTGTGTGACTCTGTATGGTTCTGTAAACAGTCTGGTCTGACCGTCCTCCTGGTACTCATACTCATGGATGACATCACCTGTCACTGTGATGTGTCTCACCAGACGTCTGCTGTGTGACTCTAATTTGTAATAATCTGATTCCTTGTCTCTCAAGGTGACCAGTAGTCCACCGACCACTGACTGATAGATCCCTAATGGTTCCAGTGGATCTGTACCATGTGTACTGATGACTGTAGAGACAGATCCTGATGGTGACAGACAGCTGATGGACTTGTTTCTATAGTCAGTGAAATAAACATCACCAGTATCAGTCACACACATATCATTAGGGAAAATACTAAATCTCTGTTCTTTTATGCCTTGCTTATTGACTTTTTCTATGCAATTTGAATTTATTTCATGTATATAACATTGTTCTTCACTGAATGTCTCCAAGGAAAGTATTGTTTTATCTGCATATTGAAATGAATTTATTTGAGTCACACCAATGTCATTTAAATCCAAAGTTTTTCCCACCAAAGACTCAAGTAAGTCATCATTAATTTCACCTCTAATGAACCTCACTGAATGTTCACAGTTTGTCATATGAACCTCCAATTCAGACAACATTTTTGTCAGTTCTCTATGGTTGTCAATCAAGCTGTAATCTGACATGGTGCTGTTGTTCTCCACCATGAATTCCACTGCGTCAATAATTCTTTTCATCTTCTTCTCTAACTCAGATTTCACATGGTTCAGTTGATTATTCTTTTTAACCAAGTTGTCTATCAGTGTTTTTTCCTGGCGTTTTTTTATTTCTGTCAGCCTGGCCATTATCTCATCACAGTGCTTCTGTAAATTTTTAATTACAGAGTCACACACTTCTTTATTTTCTGTAATCTGCTGTGGAATCTTTTCTATCTTCTCATCAATTCCTGGCAGATCCTCTTCCTTGATCTTCTTCAGAAATTTAAACAGACCTCTCCTCCTAAGGCTGGCTGCCGAGGGTAAAGTGTTCCAGTTATGATCTCTATGATCCGTTTTGGCACACTTAGCACAAATAAATTTATCACACTCCTCACATATCACATCAATAGGTAATTCATGGGATTTACACATTTCAATATGCTTTTGTGGCGAGCCCAATGGATATTTTTTGGTGGTATAGGCAGCCATGTTGTCGTGTGTTGCCTACTTGAATGACCTAGTTTTTAGTTGTGCAGGTTAGATAAACTGCAGAGACGTATGGCACGCCGATTGCTTCAAAATTATTTTCTGCACAACGATCACGATTTTATACACGAGCTTGATGAAAAATATACACGAGTAAAATAAAAATGCACGTATCGGTAAAAATTGCACATAGTTTGAAAGATTTTAACACAAACATAACGAAAAATACACGAATCCGAAATTTTTTACACGATTAAGGGGTATAAAATGCACAAACGTAAAGTCAAAAACTGCACGAGCAGAGGAAACTAATCAAAGTACTCAGAAGTACAGAGAGCCGGGCTCATATACAGAAAAGTGAACAAATTCGTTTTACATGAAACATACATTGTAATAACAGATGAATAACAACAAGACACTGGAAGAATATGTAACACAAAAATATATTTATGGCATATAGTATAAATAAGAAAAATGTTTAAAAAATTAAATAAAATGCAGTTTGAAATTTAACAGCGTAAACAATTTATCACGTGTATCGTTTCGGGGTCTAACATCACTTACAGAAGTAAATAAACATTGATGCAGCAAGGTCAAACGTTTATACACAGACGGGTCCTCAGCGGGGAGTTTTGCATAAAGGTGCGCATCGGGTCACGTGCTCCTCGCATTAGTGTTAGCCTGATAACACAAGGTTCTTTATTTATGGAATGTGACGTTGACAGAGACTTGATGAAAACCTTTCGCATATTTTGAACAAATACTTAATTGAAGAAGAGGGGAGAAAGTATATTACCATTAATGTTTTTGGGTTTAGAGAATTTTGTAGTTAACTTAAATTTGTTTATTTTCACACCTCCCAACCTTATCAATATTCAGGGTCATGAACCCAAGGGAGCATTCATTGCAACAGATAATTATTTCCACAAAGAGAGACAACTCAAGAATTTTTAATGGTATAGTCAATTTCTTTTATCAATATAGATACATCAAGTCTGAAATTTGAAAAGTGTAATTAATTGTTAAAAAAAAAGAAGAAGAAATTATTATGGTTTCACATCCTTTATTTAATTAACCAGGATCACATCAAGTCAATGTTTATGTTGAGTTAATATAAACATAACAACAGTCTGTCTAATTTCACAATACATGAATGTTTAACTTGATTCCCATTTAATAAATATCCTGATTTTCAAGTATACAGTATTTGATTTCACATGTACCTGGCAGATGTAAATATCTCTGGAAGGTATCTACCTACAAAATTACATTCAGTTAATATTTGGTTAAAGTTAAATTATTTAACAAAAAATGTACATACAGGTATGTACAAAATTTATAACTCAGGACTCGTGTATAAAAAAAATGGCAATGTGAACAAACATCATGTATTCATCTTTATTTACAAGAAATGAACTCCTACAGGTAGACAGACAATGGAATGTTGTACAACAAATGAAGTTGTAAATTACAGAGCATATGTTATAATAAAAATTAAATTGTTTAACTATGAAAAAAAAATTTTTTTTTAAATATTTAGATATCCTTCACAAGCTCCCTAAATTTTAAACAACTTATAATAAACAGAACTAAATACATGTACATGTACCTACTGAATTCTAGTTTTTTTCCTTCATATTTAAACAGATTCAAGTTCCATTTTTTAAAATAATAAATCTAAATAAAAGCCACTGAAAGACTAACATTGTGTTTCTTTCTTTTACTGATAATCTGTTTTAAAATACATGTGTAATTAAAATATGTAATACATGTATATTAGACATGCAGTACCAGTGAGAGCTTGTTATAGCCCCCTACTTTTTTCCAAACATATTCTACTACTGTTTTATAATTAAATAAAATATGAAGACGCTTGTTTTATGTTACATAATATTTTGTAAACTATGGACTCTCTGAATAGGCAAATTCTTCTTTTCTTAGGAAGGGATCCTCAAATGATGTTTGGACAGTTATTAAGAATAGAAAAGATTCATCCCAATCCTCAGGAATTCAGCAATCATTTCTTATATTGCCTGGAAAATATAAATGCAATAACATATAAGATTGCTTTATTTATAATGCATCATCCATTAATTTGAATCAGTATAATACAGTCAAACCTTATTATCTTGAACTCAATGGGACCGATGAAAAACTTTGAGATATTCAAGGGGTTGAGGGTAAGATACAAAGAAGAAAAATGTGGTTCAAGGGACTTCAAAATGACTTTGACATCTCCATAGTGATCAAGATATCACTCAGTGTTCGAGATACCAAAGTTTAACCCTAAACTGAGTATATAAGAAAAAAAATCATACTATCATATCAATAACAGCGTGCCCCTTTGTTAGATCAAGCATGCTTAAGTTTCACATGTTGAAAACCATATTTCTCATTGACTGGATGTTAAATTTCAATGAAATGAATACTACTTTGCATATGAAACAGAGAATCCAGCAATAAACTGATAATACTGAGCAGTCGCACCGAATGATTGTTTACAATGACAGCATATGTAATAAGCAACAACACATGGTCAGTCAAAACCACTGTTGGCTTCTCTGTTCATGTGCAAAATAGTATTTCTTATCATTGAAATTAAATGTCCAATCAATGAAAAATATGGTGGTCAACATGTGAAACTGCATGCTTTATCAAACAAAGTGACATGCTGTTATTGGAATAGTAGTATGTGCCATATATGGATGCAAAATCAATTTATTATTATACAGTTAAAGTATATCATTGAGGGAGTCAGCAAGATTCCAGTTCCCCAAGGCCAGCACTACTTCCCAAGGCGAAGCAGAGGGAAATAGTCCTGGTCGAGGGGAACTGGAATTTTGCTAACTCCCTCAATGATATACTTTTAACTGTTTTATTATACCGATACAAACGTAAAATTTAGAGGATTCAGATAGCATGATTTCAAAGCAGGGATATCAATTAGCTTACTGAACTAACACATGATGATTAGTCCATTCACATATCATACCAATGTTAAAGTAAAACCTAGAGGATTACGGATAGCCGGGAATTAGCTTTCGAAGCAGAGATTAGCTCACTTGACTAACACATGGGGATTAGTCCATTCTTAACGATTTCTAGGGAAATAGTCACATCTAATGATCTAATGTTATATAGGGAAAAAATCAGTAGAGGTATGATAATGTTCATCAACAATATGCATGAGAAAAAGATTTGTACAAAATGAACCAATTAAATGTAAATAAATCATATGCATTTCCAATGCAAGTGTTAGCAAATCATTTATCTAGGTAATACTGATGAATGTCAACATATGCCAGGTAGTCGACATTGTTTGATTTTAAGATACTGAAGTTTAGCTGTACATAATTAGACGGCACTATATTCAAATGTTTCTCAACAACACACATTTTTCACGTGTTGTAATGATAAGAGTAAAGCCCCTTTTCTATGCCCCAAAATATTGTTTTCCTTTCTCTGATATTTGTAGATATTTTAACCACATACAGTTTGTGAGCTCTGTTGATGATTTATAACCAGCTATTTTAAGTTGCAACTAGTTTGATGTTTAAAGATTAATTGATAGACATAAAGATAAAAAACAAAATTAAGTCTCCTTAAAATTGAAAATAAAATTATGAAAACTTATTTTAGCCCCCTCTTAGCCTAAGATCCATGAAATGAATAAAAAAGATTTTCCAATATTTACATAAGATCCCCCCTCCCTAAATATATACAGATAAATATTTTACCCCTAATTATGGCCCATCCTTAACCCTAGATTATGGGATTCCTTACTAAGATGAATGTATTCATGCATAATAATATTTTATGGTGGGCCTGACTTTTAAAAGGCTTTTACCCTAAATATTTCAGAATAAAACTTTGATACCCACTGTAGCCCTACACTACCCACAGGGAATATGGTTCGAACAAATCTGAATCTGCTCTGCACTATCTCAGACGATGCTAGCAAGATAATATGAGTATAATGACTAATCATGACCTGTCTGTTCTTGACAAGAATTAAGACTTTAACAAGAGGCTCAGGCCCATGGGTTCACCTGAGGACATCGGCTAGAAAAAAAGCACAAATCAGTTCAGTATTGACAAGTTTACTTGGTGGGGGGGGGGGGGGGGGGGATTTTATACTACTTGAGGATGCCTCAATATCCATATAGCATATAACTTTGCTGTTCTTGAGAAGAAGATTTTTAAAGATTTTTTAAAGACTTTTTTCCAATATACTACTTTTTAAAACTTGATCCCCCATTGTGGCCCCTCACTACCCCCAGGGGTCATGTTTTAAACAAATTCGAATCTTCACTACATGAGGGTGCTTACATGTCAATATGACTAAACATAGTTTTTCTGTTATTGAGAAAAAGATTTTTTCCTCCATTTTCTTATGTAAAACTTTGATCCCCCATTGTGGACCCACCTTACCTCTGGGGGTCATGATTTGAACAAAATTGAATCTACACTACCTGAGGATGCTCCCATATGAAAATCACCAATCATGGCTTTGCTGTTCTTGAGAAGAAGATTTTTAAAGATTTTTCTATGTAAAATTTGATTGGCCATTATGACCCCACCTTATTCCCAAGGGTCATGATTTGAACAAACTTGAATCTACACTACCTAAGAATGCTTCCATTTAAATATCACCAATCATGGCTTTACTGTTCATAAGAAGATGCTTTTTAAGAATTTTCCCTATATTTCTATGCAAAACTTTGATTGGCTATTATGGACCCACCCTACCCCTGGGGGTCATGATTTGAACAAATCTGAATCTACACTACCTAAGGATGCTTCCAAATAAATATCACCAATCATGGCTTTACTGTTCCTGAGAAGAAGATTTTTTAAAGAATTTTTCCTATATATTTCTATGTAAAACTTTGATTGGCTATTATGGCCCCACCCTACCCCTGGGGATTTGAACAAACCTGAATCTACATTTTGTCAAGAAGCTTTCACTTAAATTAATTTTTTTTTCTAGCCCTCCTGTTCTTGAGAAGAAGATTTTTAAATACAGCCAATTTTCACTATTTCTTAGTTATCTCCCCTTGAAAGAGGGTGTGGCCCTTCATTTGAACAAAGTTGAATCCCCTTTACCCAAGGATAATCTGTGCCAAGTTTGTTTGAAATTGGCCCAGTGGTTCTTGAGAAGAAGATGAAAATGTGAAAAGTTTACAATGACAACAATGACAGCCAACGGACAAATTTTGATCAGAAAAGCTACCTTGAGCTACAGGGACTTGAGATAATCTTAGCAAAATCGGGTATATAGCTATATTATAATAGGGGAGCCCTTTTATACTATATACCCGGTTTTGCTAAGATTGTCTCAAGTCCCTATGCCTTGAGCCTTTGACTCAGTTGAGCTAAAAAAATGTTTCATTTTGTTTTTTTCTGACTGGCAAAATTACAATTGTTCTTTCTATTTAATTGCTATAATCTATTTACATCAATAAAATATCATCACCAGTTATAAACATACCTTCTCTTTGGACCTAACCTCCTTTCTTATTCTCATGATTGATGCTTGCATCAGATAAATTGTTCTGTTACAGCTGAAATACAAATATGAATAATAAATTAATACAATCCTCTTAACTTAATTAGTACAAATAAAATATACATGCATGTATTTGCAGTTAGATCACAAAGAGAACTGCATGAATGATGAATGAACAATACTGACAAATTGCATTGTACTACTTGCAAATCATACAAATATGTAAATCATTTTAAGTGTGCAGAATATGCTGATTCATGTATTGTATTGGTATAATTTGCAGTTCAAAAAAATTGTTTGCATAAACATACAGCCAAGTGTGTTTTATTGTTTATTTCTATTTTTTTTTAAATCTCATTTAATGGTAAATTTCTCTGCATATAAACTCACTGCAATGCAGCATGATGTGATTAACCTTTGTGCATTTTTTTACCCATTCTGTATTACCGAGGTATCTGCTGAAAAAGAAAAAAAAAACAGAATGTGAATAAATCATTTGAACAAAGCAAAAAAAGTAACAGATGCATGATTTTCAATTATCAAAAGCCCTCCCTCTCTCTATCTCTCTGTCTGACAAATTATCCACAGTTTTTTTTTTCATAGATACACAAGTATAACAGATAATGGTGCAACTGAGCAAAATTAAAATATCCTATCTTTGTTTCATCCAATCAGGCATGATAATAACTAAATACATGTAATAATGTTACATATAAAATGTTATAAAATTATCCTTACAATGCTCACAATAGGCAAATCTTGAACTTAATTCACACGATCACTGTCTTCAGAATATCCTGCAAGAAAAATACATTCCAAATAATAATTTGATTAGATTTATTTATTTTTATATTTGGGACTGAGGAACACTTGACCAGGGGTTTCACCCCCCAATTTAGGCTCACTGAGAGTCTTAAATTTTGTAATATATGTTATTATATGTTATTTTTGTAAAATGATGGGCTGTATTGCCCAAAGTTATATCCTGAATAAACTAATATTATTTTTAGAATGAAATTCTCATTTATGATTTATGTGCATTACAGCACCATGCACATGGAAGTTCATTTTCAAATTCAATCAACATGTCATTCTTAAAAAGTCAAAAAAGATAAATCTGTAAAGCCCATTTAATTTTTTTTAATGAAATAAAATTATTTTCTTGTGTGTGTAATTTGTGTGGGATCATTACTGGTGCAGATGGACATATCATTAAAAAAAAAAAAAAAAACATACAAAAAAAAGCACAGATTTTTGCAAAAGCCAACTTATTGAATTATAGTAAGTTACAAATTTACAATGAAGGGCTCGAAATAATTAATGGCCCACTGGACTGGGGCCAATGAATTTTTAATTTAGGCTAGTACATTGTGAGGGTACGTGTCCATTGGGTCATTGTTTATTATGTATACATGTAACAAAATTCATTTATGGTTGGGCTAGTAACTAAACTTGCCAGGCAAAGTTCTGTCTTTTCTTGTTTTGTTAAGTTTAACTACTAAGTATCACAATATAAATAAAAAATATATCACTATTATTTTTTTATGGTTTTGGGCCAGTCTTTTTAAAATCTACTGGTTCAGTGGGACAGTCGAAGTACTGGGTTTACCAGGAAAAAAATTTAAGGTGATAGCCCTATAGTGACCAGTGAAAGAAAATAATTATTTTTAGCCCTGAAATGATGTCACATTTTTATGCTACATAATATAGATTTTCTAAATTTAATAATTTTTTTTTTCTTCATCACTTTATATTATTAATTGTGTGCTTTTTTTTCATACCGCTTTATGGAGAAGGCTGTTCAACATGTACTTAAACCTGAAATAGACAAAGCAAAAAAATAGTTACTTCTAATATTAACATATAACAATATATTTACAATATGTAAATTATATATTATCTCAAACAAAAATGCAAAACATCACTGTAAATTATGTTTACATTGACAGAGGTCTTAAATAAATTATTTCAATATTACAGATTGATGCCTGCAGTGTTACTGTATAATATTTATACCATTTCATTAGTTAGTTTTGGATGGACAATATTTTTATAAGAAAAAAATCAACTAACTTAAAGTACATTATATACATAAGTTGAAAGTGGTAAACATGCAAGAAATGTTCCAAGATATCATAAACTGCATATGTAAAGTTTGGGTGTATTAAATTAATATTCATGTCTGTATAGTCTGATATATGTGAGAACTGCATGGCATCATCTGATCATAAATTCTGTGATAAATATAAGAGACGTAGCAAACATTTTCTTATCATTAGGTTCTATTGAAAACAGCATAATTGGTATAAATAACTGACAATATTAAAAGTGCAAAATGTAAACAAATGTAAACACCTATACATATATAGAGGAAATTCAGCGGAGCTTGTGTGCATGTACATGTACTATGATATGGATAGAATTAAATCTTAGTCTCTTGATGTTAAAAAAGAGACACAACCTTCTCACAGATCACTGGGCAATCTCTGAATACACATAGCTTGTTTAGGAACGGACTATAGCACACCTACATGTTCTCTTCAATTCAAAACATGCTTTTACAGCATTTTACAAACTTGCCCTTAAATATTTAGCCATTTTGTGCTACAGGTAATCGAAAAAATAAATCGACTTCTACTTACGAGTGCTTTTGTTTCCTAAACCAGTGTATGTGTGTTCATCTTTACCGACACAACTACTCCCTTGCACGTGGAAAAATGTTTACAAAATCGAGAGGTGCTGTTTTGACACTTTCATGTACAATAGCACGTGGCAGAATGAGAAACTTCATACATACTTTCACTTTTCATGTAAAGAAACGTTTGTTTTTCAACTTTATGCAATTTAAAAACCTTGTAAATCGAGAAAACAAAAAGTTTTACCTCTTTTTTTCAAGTTGAATATTTCTCTCGATTTTCACCTCTCGCGTGTTGGTCTCATCTAATTCTCGAGAGTTCGCGCAATGAAAGCTGTTCGGACGTTTACGGATTTTGTTCATATTTTATGACGTTTATCTCCGAAAAGTTCCGATTTATGCAAATAAGGTTAGGAGGTGTGTTTTAGTGTTTGTATTGCTTCAAAGGTGGTTGAGCATACGTACTATATTCTTACTCGTATTTGATTTGGCGGTGAGGAAGCAGCATTTCCGGTTGAACACCGTAACAAAAGCCGGCTATTGCTCTTCGAGCAATGAGCCCGGCTAAAAATTACACGAACAATTTTACTGCGCATACAGCTGCGCATATCATTATTATGCATATAGAATATTCATTGTGTTCTTGGTTTTCTGTACTCTTTATCTCTTCTTGAATGCTGGGTGTAATCGAGAGAAAATGGCGTTGACGATGATATGCATGTTTGTTTGCTTCTTTAATTATTTCTTTGCTAAAACTCGATCCGATTTCTAGCTAATGCCAATCGAACGAATGAAATGTTTTCTTGTGAACTGTGTGAAAAAATTTAAAAGTTGTTCGGAGATATTATATTTTTCTTATATTGACCGAGATCCTAGCCAAAATATGGAGGTATTATATGATGCCGGACATAAATTGTGACAAGAAAGGAATTGCATGTTTGTGTTATAATGCGGGGAAAAAAGTACCATTGCATATGATGCACTCGACTCCGAACTAAAAGTAATACGCTCTATGGTCTTTTAAAATTCTCTAACTTATAGATACAACTTTAACGGAAAGTACTTGTATAAAATAAAATTAACACATGCGTAATAAAACAATTAATAACGTGGATTCTTCATGAAAATGATGGCAGAATTATTGCTGATTATAATCATTAAATTGTAGAATTCATATTGGTACTTCTCATTTGTACTAATTGTGAATTCATTTGGGCAGATTTTTTTTTCATAGATTAAAAAGTGGGAATTACCTGACCTTAGATATATACAGTATGTTTTTAAAGTCAAACATAAAAAATATTTTTTTTTCTAATTATACATGTATCTTTACTTATAAAATATGAGAATATCAATTTTGGTTGGACATCTGTAGCCTACACTGTTATGAATTCCTTCCATGATATCACATATTTTCAGTCATAAACTACTCAATAAAAAACAAGACATTCCTAAGGGTAAGCGTTACCCTCATTCGTAATGGCGATTACTTGATAAATGTTTTCACTTTTAATAAATAGGACCAGATAAAGGGAAAATATATATACTCTGTGTGCTTAAGTACATGCGGTTTTGTGTTTTGTTACTTAAAATTTGTCCAAATGAAATAACAAAACTCTACTCAAATGATCCTGGCACCGGTAAAACATATCATCAGTGGTGGATCTGGTTCGTGGATTGATAGAGTAGCAACATCTGAATCTATGTATTTATTAAAGTTTCAAATCGTTGGACCATAATGACACATCAGAAATTTTAAAACATAGTGAATTACTAAATACATCTACGTACAATGTTACAAATAAGAAAAGGGGAATGGATATTATAATAAATAGAAAGAACAAAGAATGTGTTGTTTCACTCTTAAATAATGCAAATAAATCATGTTCTTTATGGAGCTCGAGGTTTGACAAATATTTTCCAAGACAACAATTTCTCTTTACATTTCGAATTCGTATGCATAAAATTTTAATTATTTTCCGAACACTAAGTTTTTGTAATAGGCTAACACTTTTTTACCCAAATCTATAGTCATTATAAAAAAAAATGACTGTATAATTATAAAATGAAAATAATCGTCAATAATATTCAAGGAACATATTTGACACAAGATTCACTTTTTAAAAGACTATTCATGTGCATATCTAACGTTTTTGAAAAATCAGATTATGAGTTAAAAAGCCTAATCTATGCAATTTGTATTTTGTACGAATACATGTACAAATAATTAAAAAGTTTGCTTTATAGCAATATTGTACATGTGTATCAATGACATCAACCAGGTCTTGTTTTACTTCGAGCATGACTACGAATAAATATAAGAAAACATATGATGACCTCAAGAAATCTTTGTTTTATTACCGTGTGCTTATTATTGTCAAAATCTGCACATTGAAAATAAATGTGCATGTGTAGCCAAGTCCCAGCTAATTATGTTCCCCAAACGAAGTTTGGGAACATATTGTTTTTACTCTGTTTCTTATTAAGGTCTTCCGTCTCCAACGGAAGACCTTATTATTATTATTATTATTAAGTCTTCCGTTCACAACGGAAGACTTATAGTGATTGTATTGTTTCTTTTTATTATTATTATTAGGGTCTTCCGTCTTCAGCGGAAGACCCTTCTATTATTCTTCGGTTTCTTTTTTACCTTTATTAGGGTCTTCCGTCTTCAGCGGAAGACCCTTCTATTATTCTTCGGTTTCTTTTTCACTTTTATTAGGGTCTTCCGTCTTCAGCGGAAGACCCTTCTATTATTCTTCGGTTTCTTTTTCACTTTTATTATTATTATTTTTATTCTTTTTTCTTCTTACAAATTTTGTGCAGACGATTTCTCGGAGATGGCTCGTTCAATTTCATTCAAATTTTCATGGTAAATGCGTTGACATCTGAAGTTAATTCCGGTCATTCCGTTTAGGGATATTAACTTCCGGTCGGAAGTTATCGCCCTTTTATCAAAATTTAGAGGACCTCCTTGTCTGCGATGGAACTCGAAAACGGCTTAAGCTAGAGCGCTGAAATTTTCAGTGATGATAGAGGACATGTTGCCATTTTGCACCTGGGTTTGGATATTTTCCGGAAGTGCCTAGTACGGAAGCTCGGTAGGGGTCGAAATTTAGGACACGAAACATGAGTGAATTTTTG